CATTGTCTTGAGGACTGCATTGTTTTTTAGAAGTAGTCAGTATTGAGATTTAATTTAAATAAATAGGATAAGCACCCATAAATTTAATTATTTTATTATACACTTATTAACTTTTGTATAGTAATATGATACCCCATTAAATGATTTATATAGATATTATCACTTATGCTCTTATGCTATTATTTCATTCCTTTTATAGATAAGAAAACAAGCCTTAGAGAGTTATAATAACTTGTCCAAGTTCATGTATCTACCTGCCAAGAGACATAAATAAGAAGAATCATGTGATATTTAAGATATACACCCTTCTCACACATATCATCCAGACTGGGCATTTCCAGAACTTCCCTGGATACATACTCTCACCAACACGTGGATTCCATCTGTCCTTGGTAGTTCTGTAAGATTCTCAGTCTCCATGGGGGTCTTCTGATTTGTTTTTGTTTTAACATGTAGCCCATCTCTCAGGATCCAGAGATAGAAAATGAAAAGCAAACTATATCAAATGTTCTGAAAAAGTAGAATTATATCTTACCTTCTTTGTGATTTTTTTCCTCAGTGTGACATTCCACCCTAAAGTCAATGGTAAGAAAAAGATTAGAAGCAGGGAAGAATCCCTTGGATTCTCCTTTTCTGCTTTGTAACCACTATTTTATAAAGCTCAGAGAGCCCTTGGGGATGACAACAAGCAAGAGCTGTTTGAAGAATAATGCCATACTTCCGGATAAATCCTCTAAGAGGTTGACTCAAAGGACATCGATCTAGCCCTGAGCTCACAATGCAGGCTCAGGCTGAGGAAACAGTATAAAAGGATNATTCCATCAACATATGTGTCATTCTATGATTGTATGAGAATATGGAGAGGATATGGGTCAGATTTTGAAAAGGGTTTCTACCATTGCCAAGAGTCTAGGTGAACTACTGGCTTTTCATTTATTAATGTTCTGCAATAAACAGAACATTACCATCTGGTATTTTCTTGGTTCGAATGCAAGTAGTGCATCTTTTCAGAAACACTCTTCGCTGTTAATACTAGTTGCCTGAAAGGCTACTGTGATTTGCTCATGTCTGGGGATTAGACAGAGGAAGAAGAAAAGAAGAGCAAAGAAACAAAAGAATAAAACAAAGTAATATGAATTCATGTTAAATACATGTGTGATATATATGTATATATGTACATATATACATATATCACTATATATGAATAAATTAATTGAAATAAATGAAAAAAAATTCATGAGAACTGAGAAAATTGAGGCAGCAAAGGTATGCAGCTCTTAAAATGCTTCTCTTTTAAAAGAAACATGCTTATAGCCTCAGAAAGCATAGCTATTAGTAGGAAGATTGAAAAAAATTGGAAAAATATAGAAGATTTAGCAAGGTCTCTGAAAAGGCAGGAAGATATGGAATTCACCTTTTCACCTTTTAAGGGGTTGGGTTGAATTTTGATAGGGAGGAGTGGCATTCCTCTTAGGAAGAGTAATGGGATAATTTGATAGAATATATACAGAAGACTTTAGGTCAGATGGTAAAAAATGGGAATAATAATTCATGTTTCATGGCCTTGAAAGGAGGCATGCAGATACTGTGTAGAGTAAGGATACTAAAAAACCTGACAAATTCTTGGTGTGGTGTCTGTGAGAAATGGATGTGGGAGCTGAATAGGAGTGTAAAATAACAATAACATTACAAGTGATATTTCATGATCATCTGAGACAGTAGATGTCGTGGCACCAATTTGAACAACCCCATGATTGTCTCCATCAGTGCTCAGCAGGGTACTAAGGGTATAGAGTATTAAAAGCCATTCACTCCATGAGCTCTGTCTGACTATAAGACCCCATGCAATCTTCTCTATAATGCTGTCTTCTAGCTACACACTCAAAGTTTATTTAGTTATCGCTTACAAATGTACTCCCCTTCTCATTCCTTTGATCAACTTTTTGGACAAAGTTTCCCCACAACCTTTTCTCAGATTTGACGGGTTTTCACACAATACACAATGAGATTCATCAGGGGAGGCATTAGTAGGAAAACATCAGCCATGAGGACGTGGATCATAGGAGACACATCCTTGGCAAAATGGTGGAACATTGCTGCACTCATCATGGATACATAGAAGATAAGCACAGCACTGATATGAGAAATGCAGGTGTTAAGGGCCCTGAACTGCTCTCTGGGGGTCGCAATGCCCAGGACTGTCTTTAAGATCATTATGTAGGAGAAAATTATAAACAACAAATCAAGAATGGTAGAAAGGGCAGCACAGAGTCCATAGACAACATTGGCTCTGTTGTGAGAGCATGCCAGCCTCATGACATCCTGGTGCAGAGAGTAGGAGTGTGAGAGCAGGTTTTGATGACAGTATGTCAGCCGTTGCAACAGAAAGGGCAGTGGAAGGATCAAAACAACATTTTTAGAAGTCAATAAGACCCCTGTTTTGATGNATAAATGCATGAATGAACCAATAAAAAATGAGATGAGGTGCAGTGAGAATTAAACAGAATAATTTGCAGTGCAGTGCAGTGACTACATTTTCTTCTCAAAGGCACTCACCTCCAGATTAATGGATCAGAGAAAAGTTCAGCTGATTCCTCCACTAGACATCATACACCTTTGGTCCTCTCTTCAGCTCCAATTTACTGGGACAAAGGGATATCATCCTTGGGTTTATGGCAGAAACAGAGGAGAAATGGGCTGGACAGTGATTTCAATAACACAGACTCCCTCTGACTCTTATTCCTCATATAATTGCTCACAAACACATTTAAGATTATCAGCGTCTGTGTTGGTGACAGTCTGAAAATTACCCCCAAGGACACTCATGACCTCGTATTAGTATAAAGCACTGTGAAGTCCATTTTAATATTTAAGTATCATAATACACTTTAAGGTAAGGAAGGTTGAGATTACAAGTTCAGTTTTAAAGATAAAGGAACTAATGCTCCAAATGATGAGAAAAGCAATGAGAGGCAGCAAGGGTTAAACTGAGTGATTAAGATGACTTGTACAATTCACAGAAGATCACACACAGAGACAAAGCTAGGACTAGACCTTCAGGTCTCCTATCCTCAGTTCATCTGCCATGCCAAGCTTTCTTGGCTAATTTACTGTGGGCATTTAGCAAGTAGCTAAACAGAGAGGTCAGTGTATAGTCCTGGTTATATGTCTCCCAGTTATCTCTGTGTACCTGGCTCTTCTCTGCGATCCTTGCGAATACTTACCTGAGCACCAACAGCTGGAGAGAAAGGGGCCTGGCGTGCATACTTCCAGTCAGAACACAGGCTGGGTGGTAGCTCAGCTACTGGACTATTCCCTGCTTAAAACACAGGGTCTTTTTGAAGAGCCTAGTAGCTTTTCCTCAGGAGACTTTGCTGAGGCTGAGAACTCCCTTTAGAGTTCTCAAGATGCTTAGCTGAGGATGGAGCTCACGGGAAGCTGAGAAACCCCAATTCTGTATGCTGTCAAGGGATATCTTCAAGATGTTAGGATGTTTCTAGTTTTAGATTACAATTTCTGAAAGTGGATAAGAAAGTCCTAGCTAGGCTTGGAGTGCAGTATTACAAGACAGTGTTTTGATTTAGATTCAGATAGAAGATAAAGCTGATCNTTATTTTTCCACAGCATAGCTGAAACCGAAAACATCTATGGGGTTCATGTTCCAAACTTCCTTCCTTCATTCATCCTAACCTAACCCTGCTGAAAACACCTAAGTGATTTTATAAACTCAAACTTCTTAGCGATGCGTTGGCGGATTTGCTTGGTCTTGATGCTGTAGACAATGGGGTTCATGAGAGGCGGTACCAGCAGATACACATAAGACATGAGGAGGTGTACCGTGTGGGGCAGATGTTCACCAAAGCGGTGCACTAGAGACAAGCCAATCATGGGGATGTAGAAGAGTAGCACGGCACATATGTGAGAGGCACAGGTGTTGAGGGCCCGAAGTCGCTCCTGGCGGGAGGCAATGCTTAGTACGGTGCGGAGGATAAGGGCATAGGAGAGAAAGATAAGCAATGAGTCCACCCCCACGGTGCAGGCCACAACAAAGAGCCCATAGACATGGTTGACAATGATGCTGGAACACGCCAGCTTCATGATCTCTAGGTGCAGACAATAGGCATGGGCCAGCACGTGCGAGCGGCAGTACTGGAAGCGCTTCAGGAGAAAGGGCAGGGGGAGGATGAGCAGGGCACTCCGAAGCACCGAGCTCAGCCCCATCTTGACAATACGTCCTGGGGTCAAGACTGTGGAGTAATGCAGCGGGTTGCAGATGGCCACATAACGGTCAATGGACATGGACAATAGAACTGAAGACTCCACAAGAGACAAGGTGTGGATGAAGAAGAGCTGAGTGAAGCAGGCGGGGATACCAATCTCTCTGGCATCAAACCAGAAGATGCCCAGCACAGTGGGCAATGTAGAAAGGCAAAGGCCCAAGTCTGTGAGGGCCAGCATGGCCAAGAAATAGTACATAGGTTCATGGAGGGTGACATCAGTACGGATCACATGGAGGATGGTAAGGTTTCCTACAATAACTGTCAAGTAGATGGAGCAGAAGGGAATAGAGATCCAGCCATGGAGATCCTCCAGACCTTGGAAGCCTGTCAGGAAGAAAGTAGCTTTTTGGAGGCTGCTATTATAAAGGATTGTCATGGTTTTATAATCTTGAATTCATCAACCTACAATATAGAATGGGGTTCCTAGAGAGTGACACGGCTGAATTATTACTCACTCACTAGGACCAGAGAGTCAAGAAGGGTCTGCAGATGAAATGTGAGGGCCTAGGTAGAGAGCTTTTATAGAGGATTTTT